CTCTCTCTCTCTCTCTCTCTCTCACACACGCACACACACACACACACAGACACACACACACACACACACGCACACACACACATACTCGTTCTTGTCAGCCTCCACGCTCCATGCCTGCCACGCCCCCTTCGATGCATGCATATTGGCTGCCTGCTGGGGATTGCAATGCTCCCACTGCCGGTGTCTCACCACACGGTACGTCCCCGCACCCCCGCCGACAGGCGGCGCAGCTCGTCTGGAAACCCGACGCACATGAACCCGCCCTCGCCCTGCGTCCCCGTGCACCCCCCGTCCCCCTGCACACCCGACGCACACCGGGGCGACCGAATCGACCGGCGGGACGGGTCCGGTGATGACCGCCGCTCGGGCGAAGACGGGATCCGTCGAACATTGGGACGACCGATTCGAACCACGATACCGGTCCACAATGGGGCCGTGGCAGCGGGCGCGGGTCTGGCATGATGGCGGGGTCGCCTTTGGGAAAACACCAGGTCTCACGTCTGGGACCCCGCCACCGGCGGCGCTGTCTCACGTGGGCCCATCACGCGAGACCCGCCTTTTCCTTTAAGGTATTAGAGAAGAGGCCAACCACCACTGAAGTACTGAATGAGGTCCACGTACGGGATTTTGAAAAAGAAGGGCCCTACCGGTTCATGAATCTGGCACAAAAACAGCACCAAATTGTTGAACCGGTAAAAACAGGCCACCGCGCAAAGGTGCCTTTCACCAAGGCTGAAGACGGTTTGCGCCGGTAGTACCAAACGGGCAAGTTTCGGGCGCCCAAAACCGGAAAGGTTTTGTGGGTTCTTTCTACCAATTATCCCAAGTTCATTCCCATTTTGCAATTTTCGAGAATGGTGTGGCCATGCCCTGAACCCTACCTTTGGGCCTGGCTGCACTACTCAGCAATGCACAAAAGACAAAAACTGCAGCAGTGTATACATACTTTCATGTTCTAAGGGAAGATTCATTCACCTTTTGCACAGTGGGTGAGTGGTGGAGCCAGAGCGTTTGGCCTTCCCTTCCGTGTCACTTATTAGACACCCTTCCGTGTCACTTATTACACACCCCCCTGCCCCAAAACAACCCCCCCCCAAAAAAGGCCCACTCAAAAACGAAGGCCGGCCAACCTCAAAAAGGAAAGGTTGGGTGACGCCCGCCACCACCAAAGAACCACCTATTGCCACCTACTTTTGGTCGGCCGCTCTCTAAGCTCTGGGTAGACCTTTTCGCCTACAGGTCTGTGCCCTGGCCCCAACGGCGCACCTTCTCAATGCCCCATAACATTCTTTTTGAAGAAAGCCCGGCTACACGACAAAGGGCAACGGGTAAGACGCAGCCTTTGGCTGCGAACACGGCCATATTTTTCGTCTTTTGTGCATGTGGAGAGTAGTAGAGCGAGGCCCTATGAATATTGGACACGATAGACGAAGCAGACATGCGATGGTTTTCCGTACCGTAAATACGCAACAGGGCAGAAACCAGCGAAGGCGATGTTATGTGAAAAAAAGAAAAGGGAAAAAAAAAACAGGGCAAAGATCAGTACCGTAAAATACGAAAAAAAAGAAAAGGGAAAAAAAAAACAGGGCAAAGATCAGTACCGTAAAATACGAAACAGAGGGCCTCGCTCCACCACTCTCGAAATGTGCAAAACTAGAGTGCATCTTCCGCTAGAACAGGGAAAGATACATCGCCATGATTTTTGTCTTTTGTGCATTTCCGGAGTAGTGGAGCGATGCCCAGAGATGTGATGGTCTGCCCGAGGTCCACGACGAATTTGACTGAAAGGTAAGTAACTTGGCGATAGATGGACAGTAGGTCTCTCTTTCACCGGTCCAAGGGGAGCGATAGTCGAAGGTCGAACCTGTGAATGCTGCAAAGAACAGGCGGAACCTCCATACGTCATCCTTAGGTGTTGACGGGCCTGTACCCCCCTCTCTCCACTTGAGCTGGATCATTCCTTAACCCTCGCGTTCGCATCTATCAGGCTGTCTTCGTCTTCTTCTTCTTCTTCTTCTTCTTCTTCTTCTTCTTCTTCTTTCTTTCTTTCATTCTTTTTTTCTTTTCTTTCTTTGTTTCTTTCAGGAGTAGAACCCCCATGACCGGTTTCCTCTGATAAAACTAGAGGTGAAGACGGGGAGAAGGAGGAGGCTGAGGAAGAGGACGGCGGGTAGGAGTCCGACATGAAGGGGACGAAGCAGCAGGCGCGCCGAAAGAAGCAACAGAGGAAGGAGGGGGAGAAGAAGAAAGCGGAGGCATGGTCATTGCCAGCTCCCTCCGCGAGCGTGTATACGGACAACAAGACAGAGATTGCAGCTATGGAGCCTGCTGGGCAGGGGGTGACCGAGAAGGATCGCCCAGACGTCCGGGTAACACCGTTGGCAGGTAAGGGCAATATTCCCTTACATCTCAAAACGGCAGCCTTGGGGGTTGACGCCGAACTTGACGGGCCTATTCCCCTCTCGGGAGTTGACCTGGATCCTTCCCTAACCCTCCGGTTTGCATCTCTCATGCTGTCGTCAACTTCTTCTTCTTCTTCTTCTTCTTCTTCTTCTTCTTCATCATCATCATCATCACCAGCTTCTTCTTCTTCTTCTTTTACTTTTTCTTTTTCTTCTTCTTTTTCTTCTTCTTCTTCTTCTTGTTCGTCTTCTTTTCCTTTTCCTTTTTCTTTTTCTTCTTCTTCTTGTTCTTCATCATCATCATCATCATCATCCTCATTATCATCACCAGCTTCTTCTTCTTCTTCTTTTCCTTTTTCTTTTTCTT